GTTGCTCTGGACGATGGCTGCAGCCATCGTCCAGAGCAACTTTAGGTTACGTAGGCCGCGTGTGGTTGGAGTCGACTGATTGGTTGGTTGGCTGGTTGCTTGGTCGGCGGTGTTGGCTGGTTGCTTGGTTGGCGGTGTTTGGCTGGTTGGATGCTTGGCGGCTGCTGTCGGTTAGTTGCTTGGTTGGTTGGTTGCTTGGTTGGCGGCTTTGGCTGGTTACTTGATTGGCGCCGTCGTTGTGGATTGATTGGTTGGCGGGTTGCTCGGTTGGCGGCGTTGGCTGGTTGGTCGGTTGGTCGTTGGTTGGCTGGCGCCCGCAGCCGCCGCGGCTCAGGCCGTTTGCGGCGCGGCCGTCGATCGACGGCGGCATTTATGCCTGAGGCCAGGAGGGCCACGTTCGGGGCGACGGATGAAGACGTGAAGAAGCTCGCGGCCGTGTTGGCCAAGTGGAACGACGCCCCTGGATTCTTGCAGTACGGGACAAACCCAGACAACGACAAGTTGACAGACAATGCCAAAGAGGAGCTCATCACAAAGGCTAGGTTTCTGCACGACATCGAAAAGCTGTCCCCCAACATGGCCATCCGGGAGTCAGCGGCGATCAGCGCGTTCTCGAGCATTGCCGCGGACAAGGAGCGACGCGGACAACAAATGGAGGGGAGAGGAGGGAGGTAGAAGGAGGCAGATGGCGAGGAGGAGAAGGAGGAGAGGGAGGAGGGGGAGGAGGAGGAAGAGGGGGAGGAGGAGGGGGAGGATCCCCCCCCCTCCTCGAGGAGGGGGAGGAGGAGGAAGATGAGGAGGGGAAGTCATCTCATTTGAATGCCCCCCTCCCCCAGAAAGCGTCGTGGGGGTTCGACGACGCATGCGCCGAGAAGTGGGCCAGTGACCGCGGCAAGATGCTCTCGTCGATGCTCAGGCCCGCGCGCCCTTCTGCCTCCTCCACCTCCTCCTCTTCCTCTCCCTTTTCTACGCTCTCCTCCTCCTCCTCCTTCTCCTTCTCGTCCTTATCCTCCTCGTTCCTCATTCCCCCAGCCGCCTCCTCGCTCCCTACTTTCACCGTTTCCTTCGCTCTGACCCTTCCCCCAATCCCTTTCCCTTGCCCTCCTCGCTGTCCTCGCCCTCCTCGGCATTCTCGCCGTCCTCGTCTGCCTCCCGCACCCCCCTCATAATCCTCCTCCTTCTCTTCCGCTTCCTCCTGGGGATCCCCCTCTCATCCCAACCTTTCCGCAGGCATTTGTACGACCCTATACGCAGAGAGAAACATCATCATGTGCGATGCGGCTGGCTACAACGCTTCCGGGACGCACAAGTGCCGTCGAGTTCGGGCGCGGACGCGCATGATGAGCAGGGCTGGGACTCGATCAGCGGCACGGCATACACGACACGTCAGAACCGATCGGTCGCTAAACCATCGCTCGATCGTCGCCCGAATCGCCGACGCGTCGCGCTGACGCATCGCTGACGCATCGCTGACGCATCGCTGACGCATTGCCGACGCATCGCTGACGCGTGGATGACGCATCGCCGACGCATCGCTGGCGCATCGCCGATGCATCGCCCGTCTACTGCCCCGCCAACGGTCGGTGATGTTTGACTTTTCGGTTACCCCAGGAGGAAACGCGGTGAGAAGGTGCCAGAGACGACCTCGGATATCTACGAGCCCCCCGACGCGACAGAGTCAGACTATATGCTCGCGCGCTTCGCCAGCGACGGCGCGGTGATACAGCTGAAGACGCTGACCGTTATGCAGTACAAAGCAAGGTTTCTGCTCCAACTCCTCACGCATCCTCCCCCCCTCCCTCCTCCTGTTCTCTCCCCTCCTCCTTCTTCCTCTCTTCCCCATCCTCCTCCTTCCCCTCCTCCGCCCTCTCCTCCTCCTACCTCCTCCTCCTCCTTCCTAGGTGCCCCTCTCCTTGCCCTCGTCCTCGTCCTCGTCCTTGTCCTCGTCCCCGTCCTCCTCCTCCTCCTCCTCCTCCTCCTCCTCCTGCTCCACCTCGTCCTCTGAGCCACCCCGACGTACTCTCCTTCTACTAGTACCTCCTCTCCTAGTCTCCTCCTCCGAAGGGGCGGCAAGGGCGGCGGCGCCAAGGGCGGCGCCAAGGGCTCCAACGGCACGAAGGGCAACGGCAAGGGCAAAGGAGGCAACATTCTCTGGAGTGGCGAGTGCCAGGACCGTCCGATGATAAAAAAGGTGGCGATGAGGAGAGGATGATGATGAGAGGATGAGAGGATGAGAGGATGAGACTGAGATGATGATCAGCATAGGCACGATAATAGAGAGGATGAGGATAAGGAAAGGAGTGGGAGGAGGTGGTGGAGGAGGCGGCGGAGGCAGGGTAGAAGGAGGAGGAGAAGCAGAGGGCGTGGAGGCAGCGGAGGAGGAGAGAAGAGCAGGAGAGAGGACGAGGAGGACGAGGAGGAGGACGAGGACGTGGATGACGAGGAGGAGGAGGACGAGGACGAGGGGGAGAGGCAAAGACGGGCGAGGAGGAGGAGACGGAGGAGGAGCGAGCGCCGCCTCGCCCCCCCACGCACAGGACGGCGAGACGGTGAGGGTGGAGAAAAAACTCCTCGACGCCAACAATCCAGGGCTGATCTTGAGGCTGAACGGCGGCCAGCGACTACAGATCTCGTTTCGCAACCTCGAAGAGAGCAAGGCTTGCCTCCCGTCGTCGTCGTCGTCGTCGTCGACGCGGCGTCGTCGCCTTCTCCTCCTACTCTCTCCTCCACCTCCCTCCGAGAGGCTTCGAAGTGGCTCGTCAACTTGGCGAAATCGCACGCGAGGCGCGAGGTCACGCTGGACGCCATGAAGGCGGAGAAGCGCGCGATCGATGAGCGCGCGACAGTTTCGAAGAGGCCTGCGATGCAGAGACCAGCCGCAGCTCAGGGCGGCGACGTCGCCGAGGGCGACGCGAGCGGCGGGAGCGACGAGCCGCCAGCGAGGAAGAGGCCAGCCGCCACGAGAGCCACTGAGGAAGAGGAGGAAGAGGAGGAGGAGGAGGAAGAGGAGGAGGAGGAGGAGGCAGAGGAGGAAGAGGAGGACGAGGAGAAAGATGAGGAAGATGAGGAAGAGGAGGAAGAGGAGGAGGAGGCCGAGGAGGAGCAGGCCGAGGAGGAGAAGGCCGAGGAGGAGAAGGAGAAGGCCGAGGAGGAAGAGGCGGCCGCGGAGGAAGAGGCAGAGATCGACGAGGAAGAGGAGGATCAAGCGGTTCAGAAGAAGCCCGCAATGAAGCGGCCTGCGGCCACCGAGGAGGTAGAGGAGGTAGAGGCGCCGACGAGGATCAAGCGAAGGCCCGCCGCCCAGAAGCCTGCGGCAGCCGATGAGGTCGTCGGGTCGAGAATCGGGCCGTCGGGTCCGGGGACCGTCAAACCGAAATCGATCCTCTTGGTTTTCGGGCCCAGGGGTGTCGTGTCCGGGGGCCGTCGGGCACAGGGGCGATCGATTTCGCAGCTATGCATCGGCAATGCGCGAGCTGTGCGTCGGCGATGTCTCGGCGATGCGTCAGCGACGCGTCAGCGATGCATCAGCGATGCGTCAGCGATGTTTCAGCCATGCAGCTTTTGAAACCCCAGGTGGCGGCGACGGCAACTCCCACGGCATCGCTGGCACCAGCTGCGGCGGCAACTCCCGCGGCATCGACCCCCTCGGCGCCACCGACGGCAAAACCTACGTCACCTTCGACTCCAGTCGAGCAGATCGAGCCCCCGCCGCCGTCGCTCCTCGACAGGTTGAGGGGGGAGCCAGCGTCGCCGAGCTAAAGGTGGAGGCAGGGGAGGATGAGGAGGATGAGGAGGAGGGCTGCGAACGGGGCGGGAAGAGAGACGGTGAAGGTGGAGGAGGGAGAAGATGTGGAGTCTCTCTCTTCCTCCTTTTTTTCCTCCTCCTCTTCCTCCTCCTCCTCCTCCTTCTCCTCCTTCTCCTCCTCCCCCCGTTCCTCCTCTTCCTCCCTTTCCCCTCTTCCTTCTCCTCTTCCTCCTGGAGGCGGGCTCGCGCGTGTGCCGTCTGGCTTTTCGGCGACGCGGTCGCTCATAGCGAGCGATCGCGCGAGAGACGCGGCCCGAACGTCGGCGCCCAAGAAATAGTGACATATTGCCGTCGTCGCAGTCGCCGTCGCCGTCGCCGTCGCCGTCGCCATCATCGTCGCTGTCGTCGTCGTCGCCGTCGCCGCCGTCGCCGCCGTCGCCGTCGCCGTCGCCGCGGCCGTCGCCGCCGTCGTCGTCGTCGTCGTCACCCTCCTCCGGGGCGCCCGAACGTCGTCGCCCCAGGACTCTGCTAACCCCCATGTCCCAGGGCCCATCGTCCGACTCCCCTCTGCCACTCTGCCCAAGCATTTTTGCTTGCGAGTTCGGGTATGCATTTCACACCGTTAACTAAGATCGCTGTCAACTACTGGTCATCTCGGGGCTGGGCGATGCCGCGCGACCACTCGGCCTTGTCACCGATCCGACGTTCGAGGAGCGTTTCGCCGCCGATGGACCCCGCCACATCGAACGCGCGAGCGAGGACGATAGGGGGGGAAGCGACACCAACACCACCAGGGAGGCCACACCAGAGGTCCACGATGCTTTCCTGAGTCGGGGCATGGGGATATCTCGAGGTCCCCCCCTGGTAGTGTTGGCGTCGCCTTGTCTCGTTCCCAGGGCGAATCCGCCGCCTGAGCTGCGCAGGCCCAGGCGCGCCAACCGTGCTGCTCTGGACGAGTGGAGGTCGGAAGGCATGAGGTCTTCGAGCCCGTCTCCGGATGCGGCGGGGTGGCTTGCGGGGCCTGGCATCCCGTCGCCGACGAGCGGTCTGCTGAGCAGACTGCCTGGCGGCCGGGGGCGGAAGGAAAGAGGCGAATGGAGCGGGAGGGCTCGAGCAGGGGTTGGGGACAAGGGGGACGACGAATACAATAGAGCACAGATGATGCGGGAGGCGAAGATAGGGGGAGGGTTGAGGAGGGAAGGGGAGGATTGAGCAGGATGGGAACAAATGGCTTGGAATATTGAGCCTCCCCAAGGTCGCGAGGAGAACGGCGACGCGTGGGCGGAGGGCGCCTCGCAGCTCACAGGGTCTGCCTACGACGGCATCGGCTTCGGAGGTGACCTCATGAGCCAGTTGGCGTCAGCGCAGAGGGCGCCCGTGCACATCGAGGGCTCGCCCGACGACTTGGCGGACGCTCCGATGGGGCCCCACGCGGAGGGCTTGGGCGGCGGCATCGTTGACGAGGGGGCTCAGAAGGATCCCGAGGCGGATCAGGATGACGTCGAGACGGCCACGCTCGCAGAGTCCCAGAACCACGCGACCCAGGGCGCGCAGGTGCAGGCCGAGCCCGCGGGGACCATCTTGGAGAGCGGCTCCTTGGCCACAGAGGCGCCTGCAGGCGCGCCGCCAGGTGGCTTGGTCGAGGGCGTGCAGCCGCTTCTGGTGAGCTCGGCTGAGGCCACGCCGCCGCTTCCGGTGAGCTCAGCTGAGGCCGCGCCGCCGCTTCCGGGGAGCTCGGCTGAGACCGCGGCGAGCGTGGGCGCCCCCGCGGCGACCGAGGGGGCCGAGGCGCCGCTTCCGGGGAGCTCGGTTGAGACCGCGGCGAGCGCGGGCGCCCCCGCTGCGACCGAGGGGGCCGAGGCCGAGGCGATCCCCGCGACGATCGAGGGGGCCGGGGCGGCAAGGAAGAAGAGGAGGAGGCGTGCAGGTGCGGCCAAGGGCAGAGCAGGCGCTCGCATGAAGGGCGTGCGCAAGAAGAACAAGACGAAGTCGAAGGCGAAGAGCCCCCCCGAGGCAGCTGATGACAAGACGAAGAGCCACCCCGTCTCAGCTTGTATTTTTTGTTTTTGTTGTGATTTTTTTTCTGTTGTGGTTTTCGATGTTGGTTTTTTTTTTATTGATGTGTTTGTTTTTTGAAATTGTTGATTGCACTTGTTTTTTTTTTTGTGTTTTCTTGTTTTTTTTTTTTTGTGATTTTGTTTTATTTGTGTGATGTTGATGTTGTTTTTTGACTTGTGTTGCTTTTATTGTTTTTCGATTTGATGAGTTTTTTGATTGTGTTGATTTTTTTTTTTTGTTGAGTTTTGTTTTTCTGTGTTGATCTGTTGTTATGATGATGACAATACGAAGAGCCACCCCGAGGCAGCTGATGACGAGAGCCACTCAGAGGCAGCTGATGACGTTTCCACGCTGGACGACGCTGGGCACGCATACGAGTGGAAACAGCAGATGAAGGAGCAGCGCGAGAATGAGGAGAGGGAGAAGGCCTTAGAGGAGCAGAGTGCGCGGAGCGATGTGCCCGCGCCCGCCGTCGCGCCCAGGGCGCGCGGCCCGCGTGCGCCAGACGTCGCGCCGCCGCGGGGGCCCCATGCACTGGCTTTCGCCGCGATCGCCCAGCGCCTCGGGGAGAAGCCTGCTCACCACGGCTTGAAGGAGCCGCAGAGCGGGCCGACGACGCCGACAGGGGCGCGCCCCGATCAGAAGCGGCAGCAGAAGCGGCAGTCTGCAGGCGACGCCGAGCTGATCCACTGCGTGGACAACCTGAACGGCATCTTCAAGGCGAGGTCCATGGTCGGGTGGAGGTTCAAGAGGGCCTGCGACAAGAGTGCCAAGTTGCGCAAGGAGCTGGCGACCGCACCTGACCCTGATACGGTTAAGGCGGGCACGCGGGGGAGAGGGGGTACGATGAGAAGGGCGGGAATGTGCAGGAGGAGGGGAGGGGGGGGAGGAGAATGAGAGAGGAGGAGGAGGAGGAGAAGGAGGAAGAGGATGAGGAGTGGGCCGACGTATGGCGATGCGGAGGAGGGCAAGGATGACGAGGAGGACGAGGAGGATGCAGGACGAGGCGGAGGGAGGACGTGGAGGAGGAGGAGGAGGAGGAGGAGTTGGGGAGGGTGGATGAGGAGAGGAGGAGGAGGAGGGAGGGGAGGAGGAGGAATATGAGACATCGACAGGCCAAGTGGGCCAAAAATGAGTACAAGGGCGCTGTCGCTCGCCAGAAGGTCTTCAGCACCTCCCGCTCGGACGAGTGGCTCAAGGATGGCAGGTGCGTGTCCTTCCTGAAGATGGCAGAGCTCGAAGGACTGCGCTTCCGGGCACGTGCCCAATGGGGGAGGGGGAAGGGGATGAGGGGGCTCAGGACGGGGAAGAGCATGGATGTGGAAGATGGATGGGGATAGGCGGTGGGCCGCGGGAAGAGCTAAATAAACAGGTGAGTGGATGGAGGGGATGGAGGGTGACAATGGCGATGGCGAGGGGGGAGGAGGCGATGAGGAACAGGAGGAGGAGGAGGAGGAGGAGGAGGAGGGGGAGGAGGAGGAGGAGGAGGAGGAGGAGGATGTGGAGGAGGAGGAGAGGAGGAGGGTGGAGGAGGGGATGCCGCCGCTCACCAACAGGAGGCCCGTTTCGGGGCATCGGATCCGGAAACGCTGCAGAACATCAGCATCCACGCGCTGAAGTGCGTGGAGCTCGGATACCCGTTCGCGCAGCGCGAAATGTTCCACAAAGGGGTCAAATTCATGCACTTCGAAATGAAATACAGCGAGCGCTTTGAGAAGAGGTGGCAGGGACTGGTCTCCTCCTCTCTTATTCCTCCTCCGTTCCTCCCATCCTCCCCTCCTTCCTCCTCCTCCTCCTCCTCCTTCCTACTCCTTCCGCCCCGATGTCCTCCGCTCCGCCCTTCTCTTGCCGCTGCCCGCTGCGCTTATCCTACGCCCTCCTCTTCATCCTCCTCCTCCTCTTCCTCCTCCTCCTCCTCCTCCTTCTCCTCCTCCTCCCACTTCTCCTCCTCCTCCTCCTCCTCCTCGATCCTACTCCTCCTCCTCCTCATCCCACGCCTCCGCCTCCTCCTGCTCTTCCGCCCCCCGTTCCCCTTCTCTTTCTTTTTGGTCCACCGCAGGAGTTCCAGGTGCAGAATGAGTGCGCCGACCAGGATATCGCGCATAGGCTCACGTCGATCGGCATCTTGACTGGCCCGCGGGCAGCGCTGGCCGCTGGCGGGAGCTCATCCGCGGGGCCCGCGCAGGGCGGCGCCCCCCCCGAGTGGCAGGCTGCGGCGGCCGCCAAGGGCCAGGAGCAGGAGGCCCAGGAGGCCCAGGATGGCGCGCTGCAGCCACGCGCGCCGCCGAGGAGGAAGAGGAGGAGGGCCCAGGCGCCAGCGCCCGAGGAGCAGCCGCGCCGCAAGCCCAAGAGGAGGCGTGCGAGCGCGCCGCAGCACGACGCTGAGGAGGGAACTGACGATGAGGAATCATACCAAGAGGAGCCGCCATAACCATCTGGCAAGAAGGAGAAGAGCCCTGCACAGCTGAAGATGGCCGCGGCCAGGAGGATCATCTGTGGCCTGCAGTCGTCCCTTAGCCAGTCGGATAGCTTGACGGCAACGATCGGCACCGAGGACGCGTGGAAGTGGGCACGGACCCCCGAGATCCTCGGTGCCATCACCGACCTCGCAGATGAGGCACGGACGAAGGCCAAGTCCACGCCGCTGGGGAAGGACCTCATGAACGGGGTGAAGCAGGCCGAGGCGATCTGCGCTCGTTGCCGCCGCTGTCGCCGTCGCTTTAACCGTCGTCAGCGTCGTCGTGACGATCGTCGTTGTCGTCGACGATCGTCGTCGTCGGCGGCGTCTCGTATCGTCGGCGGCGGCGGCGTCGGTTGTGTCCTCGTCGTCGTCGTCGTCGTCGTCGTCGTCGTCGTCGTCGTCGTCGTCGTCGTCGTCGTCGTCGATCGTCGTCTTAAGTCGTCACTGGCGTCGACCGTCGCTGTCGCCTCGCCCCCCCCCCCCGCAGATCTGGGCCCGCGTCGGTGGCGAGCAGGCGGTCATTGCGCAGGCAGAGCAGATCGAGTCCGACTTGAAGGACCAATGTGGCATGCAAATGTGTCCGCATTCCCCGCTCGCTCCCCCCGCCGCCCGCGGTGGGCGGTGGCGCCTGTGAGTTCGTTGCTCTCGACCGTCGCCGAGGGGGGGGCCTCGGGGCAGTGGGCATGAGGCAGGGAAAGGGGTGATGCTGACGACGATGACGTCCGGGGTGGGACGAGGAGAACAAAGGCAACGAGAATGAGGATGTGGTGGGATGGCAAGATGACGGTGCGAGGCTTCGCGGCATCGTGTGTATCCGGGCGACCGCCTCCCCCGTCCACCCCCTCAGAACCTCTGCGAGAAGTTTTCGACCAAGCTCGCCAACGCGCTCACCTGCCACGCTAACCTGAACAAGACCGCGGCGACGAAGACCAAGACGAACCCCAAGAAGGGGGGCAGGAGGGGGATGTAGGTGCACTGCTTCTTTGCCCCAGGTGCCCGAGCGGCGCGCGGACGGGCGCGGGTGGGGGGGGCAGCCGAGAATGCGCGAGGATGTTTTTTGCGGCCGACTCGCTCCTTATTGGAGTCGCACCCGAAGCATCCTGCCATCTCGGGCGGTCACCCCCTCGCCCCATGCCCTTCTGCGCGCCGCCGATTCTACCTGCGTCGCGTGTTCGCGCGCCTGAGGGGTGGCACGGCGTTGGCCGTGTCGCGGGCTCGGTGTTCAACGCGATGCTATAATGCCAGAGGCTTTCAGGGATGTCTAGTCTCTTGCCATACGCCTGCGCGCACTGGGGTGCTCAGGCATCGCGAGCGTTCTCTTAGATATATGGGATCATAAGTGAGGATATATCGGGGGATAAGGGGTGCCCTTAAGATGCGGGATAGGGTGGCTAGGGTGTACGCAGACAAGACTGGGAACTAGGTGCTCGGACCAGCTAGCAATGCTTATGTACTGCGCGTGCGCGGAAATGTCCGTCTCCGGCATGGGTGCGAAGTGAAATTGATGCGTGCGCAGTCCGCTGATGCATCGCTGACGTATCGCTGATCTATCGCTGACGTCCGCTGATCAGGGCCCCCGGACCCTGTTATTTTACAGGGATCGTGCGCTGACGCATCGCTGACGCATCGCTGACGTATCGCTGACTTCCGCTGACGTTCACCCATCCGGCCCGCGGCAGTCATGCGCGCCGCCTGGCGCGGCTCCTGATGATCGAAGGACGTCGGTTGAGCTTGCAGGTGGCACCTGGTTGATATGCTAGAGCATCCTACTAGTGGATGTATTCGCTGTCCCCTTATTCTCGTTCACCCTCCTCATTCCCAATCCTGCTCATCCATCCCCTCACCATGTCTTCTGCTATATATACATGAACGCCTTGCACAGTGCCACTGCGCGCGGGGCGGGGGCTCGCTTCTGGTAGACGTCCGCTGCCGCTGGGGTGAATGTGGCAGTCGCGACCCCTGCGTGCTCGCCTAGCGAAGCCCCCGCCCGCGCATTTACTCTGCCGTGCGTTCGGGGGGGGGGAGCCGAGTCCACAGCGAGGGGGCGGGCCCTCGGGCGCTTGCCCCCTGCCAAACCATCGGTCGCAAAACCTCGGCGTGAGATCGCATCTGCACCCGCACTTACATTCGCAGTGGATCGGCTCGAGCCCCCACCATGGCGCCGAAGAAGCGGCGCAGGACATGCGATACCCTAGACCCACATGCAACACTTGAAACACGGCGGGCCCATGGCAACAGACTACTTAGGTTCCTCCAGGGCATGTACTGCGAGGGCAGGCCGATGTCGGGCGTAGCTATGGGGACTATTTGTTACCTAGCAGCAGAGGCTGGCGCGTTGGGGGACTTAAGTCGCTGGGGTGTTCGACCAGAAGCAGACCGAGACAAACGCAACGGCAACGCCGCCAAAAAAATAAGGTCGAACATTCGAGAGTTGGTCATTTCAGACAGAGTTCAACCTGGTGTTCTGGATGTCCCTGGGTTTGACCTGAAGCTCAAACGTCATGCAACTATACATATGCGGGTGCGATCGCTGCACGAGTCGTTGCATGCTGAACTGACTGCATCCCCGACATCGTTTGAGGACTGTCTGGGCACAACCTGTCTGGGAAGCGGGCTCGGGGGGATAACACATATAACGATTCAGCTATAAAGCGATATCTCAATATATATATATATACATACAGAGGGGGGTAGAGTTCATGAGATGTGTATTGAGAGCGATGGCACGATGGATGTAGAGATAGAGATAGAGAGCGAAACATACAGAGAGCGATGGATAGAGCGGGGGATATGTATATATATATACATATATATATATATCGAGAGAGAGAGAGAGAGAGGGAGAGAGAGAGAGAGAGAGAGAGAGAGAGAGCGAGAGAGACATACCGCACCCCTAAGGATTACAAGGCACAGCTAGGCCAGAGGTCGTACCCGCCCGCGTGGACGACGCACCCCATAATGCAGGCTGGTGCCGCCACTGGGGAAATGGTGGTGCCGCTTGCGCTCTTCATTGATGCCGCTGCTTACGGCGGTACGGCCTCTGCGGGTAGGTTGCGGTCAATCGTGGTGATTTCGTGTTCGAACGTGATCACTGGTCGCAGACACGTCGTGGCCGTGCTGCGAAAACAAGTGGCTTGTCGTTGTGGATGCGGGGGATGGTGCAGCATGTACGCTTTATTTTCGTTTATGCGGTGGTCCATTGGGGCTCTGGCGAACGGCATGTGGCCGCAGCCGCACTTGGGCTTCGCGGGGGGCGACTGCAAAATTCCAGGGACCCCTCTTGGATTTCGCGGTGCCATAGTTTACGTCATGTCCGACTGGGAGGGCTTATGTCAGTATATGGGTGCACCCACTTGGTCAAGCAAGAAACACCCTTGCCCGTTGTGCACTACGACAGCCGCATCGATGCATCAATACAGGTATTGCTTTTTTTTAGCGAGCGCAAATTGCATGTGCAAGAGGGCGGCGAGGGTACGCCTTGTGATGTTGCAGATAGGGGGGCT